GCCATGGGGAGCAAAGAAAAGCTGTCAAAAGACCTGCGTAACAAGGCAATGGAACTTTATAAAGATAGAAAAGGATATAAAAAGATGTCCAAAGTCTTGAATATGCCAGTCAGTACTGTTCAATCAGAACAGAAGTGGAAAATTCAGGGATCTTTTGGTACCAAGCCAAGGTCAGGTAGACCAGAAAGCTTATACAAAAGGAAAAACTGCCATTTATTAGGGTGTAACCACTCATCAAAAGAATCTCTCTGACTCACCCTAATATGGGGTGTGGATTCTAAACCGAATTAAGCTTATGAGAAAAAGGTTAGCAGCTGACTAGAGCAAACTGCCAAAAAAGACGGTATATTATAAATCCTATGCGGAGTAAACCATCACCATCAATAGTGGATGCAAATAATTTATTTAGATCATAAAGATCATTGGAAAGGTTAGGCATTATAGACATGGTGAACACACAGTCAATCACTAAAATAAAATCAGTGAATATAAAAACAAAAAAAGTCCTGCGCATTCACTTAGCTGCATCAATTAAATGGCTTGAAAAACCATTGTTTGAATAAAAAAAAGAGTAAATCTTCATATATAGGAGGTTTTTATGGTGTATGGGGGTCCATAATAATAGTATTCTAAATGGCTGAATCTTTGCAGTGTCAAGTTCCTGTTGTTTTCCAATATTGGAAATATCTTTGCACTTCCCTCATATATTCATCAATGTTGGGTGGTAGGGTAAATTTCCAATAATGGAAAACAACAGGAACTTGACACTGCGAAGATTTCAGCCATTTAGAATACTATTATTATGGACCCCCATACACCATAACAGCCTCCTATATATGAAGATTTACTCTTTCCTATGCAAACAACGTTTTTTCCAGCCATTTAATTGATGCAGCTAAGTGAATGAGCAGGATTGTTTTTGTTTTTATATTCACTGATTTTATTTTAGTGATTGACTGTGTGTTCACCATGTCTATAATGCCTAACCTTTCCAATGATCTTTATGATCTAAATAAAGAAATTATTTGCATCCACTATTGATAGTGATGGTTTACTCTGCATAGGATTTATAATATATCGTCTTTTTTGGCAGTTTGCTCTAGTCAGCTGCTAAAATTTTTCTCATAGACCAGAAAGCTTGCACCCACAACTACCAGAAGAATTGTTCATGATACAAAGAGACTCACAGGTAACCTCAGGAGAAATACAGGCTGCTCTGGAAAACGACAGTGTGGTTGTTTCAAGGAGCACAATACAATGATACTTGAACAAAAATGAGCTGCATGGTCGAGTTACCAGAAAGAAGCTCTTTCTGCGCCAATGCCACAAAACATTCTGGTTACAATATACCCGACAACAGTTTTTTTTGTGACATCGTATTGTGCTCCTTGATACAAAATTAATAAAAGATTTTTGCTATGATCAGTCATATCTTCAGTATCAATACCAACATTTCACGATTCCTGTCAGGGTATGCAAACTTTTGAGCCCAACTATGTAAAAAGCAACAACAAAAAAATAAAACAATACAGTCTTCCTAGTTCATCTGTGGAAGCCTTTTCAGCTGTAAAAACAGACCTGAGAGGCCAGAGAGATCACACTACACTCTTCAGTAGCCCCCCACCTCTCCCCTTCTCAGCACTGTTTGGCTCATCAAAAAAAAAAACTTGCTAAAAGCCATTTCACTGTAATTTTACCATAGTGAGAACTTACTTGTGGTTACTTTGATACTTGTGATATTAGTGTCTCCAATGCCCACCGACAAGGGGAAAGTCAGATTATTGGTTAGGTACTGCTTTACTTGGATAGCCATTGAAGGGTCAGGAATACTAATCTCAACATCCAGAATGTAGTCTGATACTAAAAAAAATGAGAATGACATGAAACAATTAGCATAGTATTTATAAGTGCTAAATTTACACACCAAATTAAAGTGGTTGTAAACCTCAGACATGAAATATGAACAAAGCATATCCCTCAATAATGTGTAATTGTCTCTAGAGTACTAAGTGTTATTTCTGTCTGCTGCTTTATTCCTCTGCTATCTGCATGAGTCACTTCTGACTAGTTTTCCTGACACCAAGAGAAAAATGGTGACAGGGGAGGGACCTCCAGCAGATTGACAGCCTCAGCTCTGTTCCTGTGTGCTGTGTAAAAGGGGGCTTTTCAGAGTTGAGAGATCCTACTTAAATTCTGCACTTTGAATGGATGTAGGGGAAAGACAGGTACAACGTATGTAGGAGAATTTGTTTAATTTCTGTGTATCATCTGAGATCAGTCACTTCAACGGGTATATGTAGGTGTTTACAACCACTTTAAAATGAATGAACTTAAAGTGTATCTAAAACCCAAACCAAAACTATATAATGCTGCAGTTTACCAGTCCTTAAAATTTGTGGCTGCATTTGTTTTTTCTTCTTATTTTCCATTATTTTCCTTTATTGGGTATTGGGTATTGGTGATCCTGCAAATAACATACTTCTTGTCCCTGGGTGGCTACAATCATTCATCCTCTGTTTCCTCAGAGGATCCCTCTTCTTGACAAAAATAAGAGAACATTGTTTTTTACTTCCATTTCAACCCACAGGAAGGTACCAATTATTGAAAAATAATGCAGCCACCATATCTAAGGACTGCTATGCTGCCATATATTAAATTTTTTTTGTTGCTTTGTTCATTTTTTGTTCAGAGATCTACATCCTTTGACAGAATAAATTATTCATCAAGCATTATACTATTGTGAGTGTGTATTTTAACTGATGTAAGGTGTTATGCTCTATGTCTGAGTATCTTCAAGCAAATCATAGGAATGCATTACTCAAAAAAAGACCAGTAGGTGGTGCTGCCTACTTTAGTAAGACTAATTTCCCCAGATTTCTAGGAATTGAAAATGCACCAATGTTGTCAAAAAGCAAACAATCAGATATGAAAGAAAAAAAACCAAAAAAATCTACCTATGTAGGTTTGCTTAATTTTTCTGAGCCCCTGTATTGCAGGCCAGATAGATAGAAAGAAAAGCCAAAAGACTCATGTCCATCAAGGTCAACCAAATGACAAAAATAGTCTGTAAACCTGCAGTTGATCCAGTCCAGAGGAAGTAAACAAAAAAACTTTTATAACAGGTGATACAATTACAATAGTATTGTAACTATAGTGTTTCCTTTTATATTGTAAAGCACCGTGCAAACGGTTGTCGCTATATATAAAATAACAGTGCAGCACTATCAATAGTACAATTGGTCAATATGGAATATTATATGATGTATCCAAAAGTCAGAGTCAATATTGGGTCAACAAGTGTAAAGATGTAAAAGTTCAAACAATTTTGCATCTTTACACTTGTTGACCCAATATTGATGCTGACTTTTGGATACATCATATGATATTCCATATTGACCAATTGTACTATTGATAGCGCTGCACTGTTATTTTATTTATTACGATACGAGGTTTATGTGATTCCTTGAGTGTTCTAGCTGCTGCCTTTATGAGCGCTCTCTACATTTTTGCATTTTCTGGTTGTCGCTATATAAATCCTGTATTATAATAATTATTGTAATTGAATAATTACTAAACATTATATAATAATAATAAGAAGAATGCAGTGTTATACATTATTACAATTAATAGCTGGTTATATTCTGGTCATTTAAAAACACATCCAGCTTTTTCTTGAAACCATTTACAAAGGGATCTAGTCCACAGTGTCACATCTCTTAATGTAAAGAATTCTTTCCATATGTGGAGGCTGATGTGACTGTAGACTTATTAGTGCACTTGCAAATGAATATTGTCTGTGATACTTTTTTTTTTTTTTTAATTTGCAGTAACACTTAAAGGGTTAGTTCACTTTTTTACAAAAAAAAACTGCCTATGCAGGTAAGGGTAGATAAAAACAAACTGTACCACTTGGACTAAAGTTAGATATTACCCATGCTATATAGGTGTTGGTCATTTGTGTACCTCCAGAAGCCTGGCCAAAAAACTCAGAGATGGGCCCCCCCCTTCCTGCCTTGTTGCTAGGATGTTGCTACGACACTCTCAGCCTATTCAAACCCCCTCACGTGTCCTCGCATTCCCCTGTTGCAGTAGCTCTGAACCCAGCAATGGACAACACATGTGCATGGGTTTGAGAGATCCCTTCTTTGATGGCGGGGGCAAGCAATAATGACTGAGAGTGTCTTAGCAAAAGTCCTAGTAACAAGGAAGGATGGGATGATGGCAGCTCTGGAAAAAATCCAGTCAGGCTTCAGGAGGTATGTAAATAGACCAAATCGATAGCAAGGGTATTATATTCAACTTTAGTCAAAGCTGCCCAGTTTGTTTTTATCTTTAGGCACCCCTTACCTGCAGAGGCAGTCTTTTGGTAAAGGTGAACTAACCCTTTCGATTCTCTGGGCAAGCATTTGGGCTGTTTTGTTTGATTCATTGTTAACCTCCCTAGCGGTCTGATTATGTCCATATTTCTGTGCTTAAAGTGGTACATTTTTTTGCATGGAAATATTTTTTTTTTTTTATTGTAGGCCTGTAATTTTTAGGAATAACTCACAGAAATCTGTCCGAACAAGAGTCTAGTAAACATCCCGGGTATGTTAAAATTTGAAACTTGAAATCATAAATTATAATTTAATAAATAATCATAAAAAATAATAATATAATAATAAATTTAATTCAATAATATAATCAAACCAAAAACACTGAAATTTGAAATAGAGCACCAAGTTCGCACATTGCTGAGCAAAGTCGCAAAATATTTTTCAGTGTCTGATGACGAATTTCCCCACGAATCATTATCACTCAATTCTGCAAGTGGTTCTAATTTACTATCGCTGTTCTCTAGCCGGTCTAAAACCGCTTTTGACTTAAAGGGATGCTTTTTGGACGCTATGGACATTTCTCAGTTTCCAGGCTGAAAGAACAGTAAAAATGCAGGCAGGGCACAGGACAAGGGTTTGATACAGTAATGTTTTACTATGTGATTTTAGTGTATTTACTGAATGTCACTTTTTCACATTTTTGAATTTCCCGCCGTTCCATCACCATACGTCCCGACGTCACAGGGAACAGAAGCCAGAAGACAGATGCCGGCATCCGCCGGAGGACATTGCCGGGGACACTGCAGGAGGGACATTGCGGGAGTGAAGGACAAAGTAAGTGAAGAAGAGATCCCGGAGCAATGGTGCAGGGTATTCCCGAGTGTAGCTCGGGGTTACCGCTTGTGGTACTGAAACTTTACCCCGAGCTACACAATCGGGAATACCGCCAGGGAGGTTAATATTCAGAGCAAACGTCCCCCATCCATCCATGTCTCCATGCTTTATATTGTTGAGAAGTCACTTTGAAAGGCAGATGATTCATGTAGCATTTACTTCCTGGAATCCATCTGCCCTTAGCTCAGACATGCATGTAGGATGGTGTGCTTAGCTGAGAAAGCCCTTCCACATGAAAGAAAGAAAAAAAGGTCCATGAAGACTCCTAGGATGTATGACATCATTTTGGCCTAGGCCAGAAACCAGGAAGCAACTGATGCTAGCAGCATACAGATTAAAATAGTTAATTTTGATTGAGAAAATAAAATTTCACTTTAAAGGGGCCGTACTGCCAGGAACATGTTGTAATTGCTTTACTGAATTCCCCCCCAGAGTTCCTCCTTGCCATCTTCAAAGTCCTTAAAGCGAACAACTTTTCACCAAGTTTAGTATATGGACCAATTAAGTATTGAACCACTTGTTGACCTCAGTTCCTCTTTTATCTCATTTATTAATGGGATATAATTTTGTGTAGTATATTCCCTTCAATGACAATGTTAACCTAACTCCTAAATAGTTTGATTCTTTATCCCACCAGGTAAAGGGGAAATTCCCTTGAATCGCCTGTCTCTCTCTTCGGTAAGTTAATATTCAATATCTCTGACTTCAGAGGGTTAATCTTAAAATTTGACAGCTCTCCATAGTGTTTAAATTCTCTCATTAAATTAGGTAATGTCAATCTAGCATTTACCACATTAAATAATATATCATCTGCGTACGCAGCAACTTTATGTTTTCAGGTTTCCACGACGTCACAGGGAATAGAACCCAGACGACAGATGCCGGCATCCGCCGGAGGACATTGCCAGGGTCACTGCAGGAGGGACATTGCGGAAGCGAAGGACAAGGTAAGTGAAGAAGAGATCCCGGAGCAACGGTGCAGGGTATTCCCGAGTGTAGCTCGGGGTTACCGCTTGTGGTACTGAAACTTTACCCTGAGCTACACAATCGGAAATACTGCCAGGGAGGTTAATATTCAGAGCAAACGTCCCCCATCCATCCATGTTTCCATGCTTTATATTGTTGAGAAGTCACTTTGAAAGGCAGATGATTCATGTAGCATTTACTTCCTGGAATCCATCTGCCCTTAGCTCAGACATGCATGTAGGATGGTGTGTGTGTTTAGCTGAGAAAGCCCCTCCACATGAAAGAAAGAAAAAAAGGCCCATGAAGACTCCTAGGATGTATGACATCATTTTGGCCTAGGCCAGAAACCAGGAAGCAACTGATGCTAGCAGCATACAGATTAAAAATAGTTAATGTTGATTGAGAAAGTAAAATTTCACTTTAAAGGGGCCGTACTGCCAGGAACATGTTGTAATTGCTTTTTTGAATTCCCCCCCAGAGTTCCTCCTTGCCACCTTCAAAGTCCTTAAAGTGAACAACTTTTCACCAAGTTTACTATATGGACCAATTAAGTATTTAACCACTTGTTGACCTCAGTTCCTCTTTTATCTCATTTATTAATGGGATATAATTTTGTGTAGTATATTCCCTTCAATGACGATGTTAACTTAACTCCTAAATAGTTTAATTCTTTATCCCGCCAGGTAAAGGGGAAATTCCGTTGAATCGCTGGTCTCTCTCTCTCTTCGGTAAGTTAATATTCAATATCTCTGACTTCAGAGGGTTAATCTTAAAATTTGACAGCTCTCCATAGTGTTTTAATTCTCTCATTAAATTAGGTAATGTCAATCTAGCATTTACCACATTAAATAATATATCATCTGCGTACGCAGCAACTTTATGTTTCATGTTTCCAATTTGGATTCCTTTATATATACGCTATTTTGGATAGTAGCTAATAGGGGCTCTAAAGATAGTATAAATAGGAGGGGTGACAGTGGGCACCCCTGCCTTGTTCCATTGTACATTATAAATGGATACAACAGTGTACCATTAATCTTCATCGCTGCAGAGGGGAGACTATACACGTTTTTTATTCATTTCATCATTTTAGGTGCTATTCCTAATATTTCTAAGGTACTTATCATAAATCCCCAGTCTACCCTGTCGAACGCTTTTTTTGCATCTTTCATCAGGAATACCACTGGTGACTTTTCCTTCCTTTTCCTTCTCATGCAAAAGGAGTAGTGATCTCACACCATTATCCATTCCTTCTCTTCCCGGTACAAACCCTACTTGGTCCAAGTGTACCCATTCTGGCATTAAATCTTTCATCCTACTAGCAATGATCTTCGCGTATAATTTCTTATCTGTATTTAGTAACGATATTGGCCTATAACTGGTGCACTGGGATGGATCTTTACTTTCTTTAGCTATTATTGTGATATTAGCTATTATTGTGATATGTGCTAATAACGACTCCTCCCTAATTTCCATATCTGTTCCTAATGCATTCATATATTTACACAATTTAGGCACTAAATATTCATTAAATTTCTTACAATATCTTACTGTATAGCCTTCCGGTCCCAGGCTCTTCCCTGATGCTGTACTCTTTATTGTTGCTAGTATTTCCTCTTGTGATATTGAATTTTCTAACATTGCCCATCTTTCTCCCTCTAGTCTGGGTAATCCCGCTGTTTTTAAATATGTCTGAATTTTCTTATTTCTTTCTCTAATCAGAACCTTTTGCTCCTTGTTTTTAACCACATACAGTGAACTATAATATTTTTGAAATACACTAGCAATCATTTTAGCTGAGTATACAATCTCTCTCATTTTATTGTTAATCTTCTTAATGTAGTTTACAGATTTCTTTTTTGTTAACATTTTTGCTTAGTATTTCCCTGGTCTATTTCCCCACATACACCTTTCTTTTGCCACCATATTAAATACCCTTTTTGTCTCTTGCTCCATTAGATCATCCAACTCTTCCCTTTTTTAGTATAATCTTATTTTGTACTTCTATCTCTGTTCTTCTCTTGTTCTAATTTATATAATTCTTCTATTAATGTTCTCATCTTTACTGACCGTTTCTCTTTTTTCTGCTCCTATTGCAATCAATATACCCCTTATATATGTTTTATGGGCTTCCCATATTGTGGCCACTGAAACATCTTCAGTTTCATTCAGTTGGAAATACTGTTCTATTTCTTTTTTTATTTTTACTTCTACCTACTGATATGGCAATAACATATCATTTAATTTCCAAGTGTTCAGATATTTTAAATCTCCTTCAGTATTCAACTTCATTGTAACTGGCGCATGGTCTGAAAGAGTTGTAATTTCAATCCTGGATTTGGTCAATGACTCCAGCAATCTATGTTCAATCAATATATAGTCCAGTCTGGAGTATGTTGCATGTGCAGAGGAGTAAAAGGTATAATCCCTTTCCCTTGGGTGCTTAATCCTCCATACATCTATTAGATGACATTGATGTAATCTCCTTTTCAATGGTTTTAAATATTTCCTACCCACCCTTTGCACCCGAGACAAAGTATCCAACTGGGGGTCCATGCAAAGATTGAAATCCCCAGCCACAATCAGTTTACCTTTCCTAAAGTCCATCAATTTCCTTAACAAACCCTCTAAATAGCCCATTGCATTTTTTATTTGGACAGTAAATATTTGCTAATGTACATTTCATATCATTTAACTTTCCATTCAGACACAGGTATTGGCCCTCTTCCTTGTAGGAATACCAAATATATACAGGTGAAACTCGAAAAATTAGAATATCATGCAAAAGTTCATTTATTTCAGTATGCAACTTAAAAGGTGAAACTAATATATGAGATAGACTCATTACATGCAAAGCAAGATAGTTCAAGCCGTGATTTGTCATAATTGTGATGATTATGGCTTACAGCTCATGAAAACCCCAAATCCACAATCTCAGAAAATTAGAATATTGTGAAAAGGTGCAATATTCTAGGCTCAAAGTGTCCCACTCTAATCAGCTAATTAAGCCATAACACCTGCAAAGGGTTCCTGAGCCTTTAAATGGTCTCTCAGTCTGGTTCAGTAGGAATCACAATCATGGGAAAGACTGCTGACCTGACAGTTGTGCAGAAAACCATCATTGACACCCTCCATAAGGAGGGAAAGCCTCAAAAGGTAATTGCAAAAGATGTTGGATGTTCCCAAAGTGCTGTATCAAAGCACATTAGTAAAAAGTTATGTGGAAAGGAAAAGTGTGGAAGAAAAAGGTGCACAAGCAGCAGGGATGACTGCAGCCTGGAGAGGATTGTTAGGAAAAGGCCATTCAAAAGTGTTGGGGACTTTCGCAAGGAGTGGACTGAGGCTGGAGTCAGTGCATCAAGAGCCACCACAGATAGACGGATCCTGGACAACAAACAATGTCAGAAGCGTCTTACCGGGGCTAAAGAAAAACAGACCTGGTCTGTTGCTCAGTGGTCCAAAGTCCTCTTTTCTGATGAGAGCAACTTTTGCATCTCATTTGGAAACCAAGGACCCAGAGTATAAAGGAAGAATGGAGAGGCACACACTGCAAGATGCTTGAAGTCCAGTGTGAAGTTTCCACAGTCTGTGTTGATTTGGGCAGCCATGTCATCTGCTGGTGTTGGTCCACTGTGCTTCATTAAGTCCAGGGTCAACGCAGCCGTCTACCAGGAGATTTTGGAGCACTTCATGCTTCCTTACGCAGACAAGCTTTATGGGGATGCTGACTTCATTTTCCAGCAGGACTTGGCACCTGCCCACACTGCCAAAAGCACCAAAACTTGGTTCAATGACCGTGGGATTACTGTGCTTGATTGGCCAGCAAACTCGCCTGACCTGAACCCCATAGAGCATCTATGGGGCATTGTCAAGAGGAAAACTTAATAGGAATGTCCTCCTACTTTAGTTACTCTGCGCTCTACAGAGTAACTAAACAAGACCAGCGGCTATCATATATACCCTATACCTTGGGATGAAAGAAATATCTAATAGTGGATGAAGAGCTCAGCCATGAGGGTAATGAACTAATTAAACTAAATAGATGAATAAAAATTAATACATAATAAATAATATATATATATATATATATATATATATAATAAAGTGACCAGTGCTCCAAATAAATGTGCAAACAAGAATAAAAATATATAAAAATTCCAATACATAAATATCTATAAAGTGAAGGTGACTGGTGCTTCAAATCAATCAATGTGTAAAACCAAAGCAAACGACCAGTCTGCCACCCAGTGGCTAAAACTGGTACTAAATATACACACACTAAGTGTAAAAAAGTGACAAGTGCCCAGAAAACTAAATATATATATATATATATATACAAATCCACACATAATCATGTATATTAAATATATATATAAAAAATGTGAATAAATACAAAAGTGAACAATCACTGACTAAAGTGACAAGTGAAAATAAGAAAATGTCCAAACTAAAGTGCAACAATCGTGCTATCACTCTTAAAATGTGAAACTGAATAAATGCTTTTCCACTTCAAAATCTTGTGCTCAAAAACAAGGAGTGACACTCTCGTGCATATATCCTCCAGTGGTTAGAGTGCCTCCTCACCTCCTTTCAACCCCTAAGGGCCACAAATCATGTAATGTAATCCAATATTCCACCCTGATTAACTTCCGATAATATTGATGTTTTCACAACACCTTAGCTATCCTTCTGATATCCACTCCAAATGTATTGGGCATAGAGAGACTCAGCAATATAGTACCAGGGTCATAGAGGAGTAAGCAAAAAGAATACTTCCACAGTGTAGTATGTCCAATATGTTTAATCAAAAAGATGCCAAAGAAATCACTCACATGGTCCAAGTGTACAGCCCATGATTTTCCATATGTTATGGGTGCACTAGGGGACTCAAGATGGCGAAAAACCAGAAGTCCGTCACCGGAACTGCGTCACCGAGCTCCACCCGGAAATGACGTCACTGCGCTCTACGCGTTATGCCCTGAACACGCGGCTTCTTCAGGATCCGAAGGATAGATAAGGTGTTGTGAAAACATCAATATTATCGGAAGTTAATCGGGGTGGAATATTGGATTACATGATTTGTGGCCCTTAGGGGTCGAATAAAGGAGGTGAGGAGGCACTCTAGCCACTGGAGGATATATGCA